ATTCGGATCCCGAAAACAGGTAAGGACCCCTCACCTTATTTCCTATCACGGTATTAAAGTTCAAAATGATAAAACAGTATTTCTTGAATTAACGCATGTGTGAAATTGCTTAAGGTTGCTGATGGAGCCCGAGTCTAGTGTGATTGATGATTTACTGTTATTTGGCCTGTTTACAGCTTTAAATGCAAAATGAGGTTTGATGTGTTTCATTTTACAGATTTGTGTGCATGCACTACGTTTTTATTAATTATGGGTTGAATGACTGAAAAACTGATACTGTATGTTGTCTGTTTGGTATGAATTACGATTTGCTTGTTTAAATGTGAATTGATGATGCTGATTGAGGAAAAGGAAAAATGAAAGATTGTGTAAACTGATAATTGTATTATGGGGGTCAGCCTGACTAGATATCCTGGGAGATGGTGGACGGACCGGGTCCGTAGGGAACCCTACCGGGATTGTGGTCTCACATGCCGGACGGGGTATGGAGATCTTATGGTTTTGGCGCCCATACCGGACGGGGTATGGGGACGGCCCGTTTCACCCTCATACCGGACGGGGTATTGAGGTTTATGGTTTTGGCGCCCATACCGGACGGGGTATGGGGACGGTCCTGGAAACTGATTATGAATGTTAAAGGTTAACGGGTAGCGGAACCCCTATGGACCCCCACGGATACTAGTAGGCTGGTAAATGAGAAAAAAATATGTTGTACAATGATTGAATTACAAGAGGCGTGATAAGTGTTATGTTTTACAGCTTAGATTATTCAATGATTATGATAATGTTATTGTTTTTCTCATATTGTTTTCATAAATTCCACCAAGGTAAGTGGATGGTCAAAGTTTTATTATTGATAAAAGGTTTTGTTGTTAATAAACGAGTTTATTGTAAATTATGCTCCATTGGTCTTTTTGTGGTTTTTTACCCACCTTTATCTCCGTGACGGTGAGATATCGTGATGTTCTTACTGGGCTAGTGTAGCTCACTCCTTAATTAACCATTTCAGATCAGGATGACATGGTTCCCGAGCCCGTTCCGCAGGAGGACGACGAAGGGGATGCCTAGAGACTCTGTAGTCATACGCATAGTTTTATTTTCGAGTTTCTTTCTTAGTTAGTTTAATCTTTTATATTTTAAGTACGTTTTTGGTTTTTCGTGTAAGGGATGTTAAATGAAATTTTGATCTCGCTTCCGCATTCGATATATTTAAATACTCATTTCATTTTAATATTTTCCGGGGCCGTTACATAATATATATATATATTTCTAATAATTTCATTATTAATACAACAGATTTAGTTCGAGTGTTTTATGAATTAATCAATGATAACTAACTCATAATGTGATTAAGTTATACTCGTAGTTTAACTCATTAATATATTGATAAAATTATAATGAATAAATTAATATTATTTTTAGCAAGTTATGATATATTTAGGTAAAATAAATATTCATTATCGTTAAATTCTTTTTGTCAAACAATTACAAGTGAGTAAAAAAAATCTGACAAAACATTTGATTTTCTTAAAAAAAATTCATTATATAGTTTTATATTTAAATTATATCTATATGTACACTTTCGTAGAGTGCACACCATGGCGTAGTATGGTTCCCTTAGCTTGGAATAAAAGTGATGTTCCTCTCATCAAACTACCAACAAGATGGATAAGTGAAGTGATCGAAAGTACACATAAAAATCAAATGAGACTATGATCGTTTGGTGCAATCACTGTATATATATATATATATATATATATATATGTATGTATATACATATATTTCAGATAAGTTTCTTAGCATCTACTTTTCTCAAACATAAAGTTACAACACAAATTTGTCTTGCTCCTTTTTATTATTATTATTTTTTCTTTTAAGAGCTTTAGTTTTGAACTAATTATAATTTAATGACGATGATTATCGGTTAATATTTGGCTTAATTATTAATTAATGCATGAGTGAAACATTGAATTTGTTAGGAAAAATAAAGATCAAATGACTTTTAATAATAAAAAAAAGGTGCAATATTAAATTTGAATTTACTTGGGAGTAATTTGACATCAAATTGAGTGGGATAATCTTAATTGATTATTGAGAATTTTTTTAAAAAATTAATTTATAAAAAAATTCCGCTCTTTTTTATTATAGTGATAAAAAATACTACGAGATTAATTTTCATATAATGAAATTAAGTTTCACTTTTTTTTTTCAACTAATTATTCAATAGTTAATAATTAATGTCTCTAAGATTTATACCATATATTTATAAATACCATATACCATATATTTATAAAAAAAATATATGCTTAGGGTGTCACATATGCTTAGGGACATGTTTTACTAATCGATTTGGTTCCGTTCTTCGTCTATTATTAAAAGGGTAGATGTTTATTTTGATAATATTGGAATATTTATAATAATTTATCATTTGTAATAAATTTTTTTTTTCAAAAAAATAAAAGCTATTATATTTATTAAGTATGAACATAATATGCATTTTAAAAAAATAAAAAGATAAATATATACGTATCTATTTCTAATAAAATAAGCCATTATAATTCTACCAAAAGCTATCAAATTGCGTTTTTAATTTGTCCTTTTTTTTTCTTCAAATAAGTAGAAAATTTTGTTTCATTAAAAAAGAAATTATTGCGTATTAGAAGTAAATGTGTTTTGAATCATTCTATTTTAAAATAATTTATACTTAATTAGGTTTGAGGATTATATATACTGCACAAGATTTTATTTCTTTTAGGAATCTGTTTTTTAATTTTATAGATTATTTTTATTAGAATTTTTTTAATTAGTTAATGCGTAATTAATACTAAACTTTTCTCAAGATAATTTTGAAAAGATAATTCGTGATATATTTAATATTTTTATCTCATACTTATACGATAAATGTTTTTATTAATACCATTTATTAATATAATAAACATAAATATAAACTAATTGAATATTTAAAAAAATCAAATAACTACTATGGAGAAAAAAAGAATT